TTTCATTGCACTATGGTAATATATTCAATTTTAAGTCAGGTGTAAGGATTTGATTCCATAAAGTATGGAATATATAGGTAAAACAGATGTGAAAACACAGTATTTCCAAATTATAACTTCCTGTTGCCTTGTAGATCTGATCCAAAGTTCATTGAAGTCTGGTAGAATCCATCAACTTCAATGGGATTTCACCATGCTTTGTGCATGCATTTTGTCAAAATGCTGAAGGAATGGCCTAGTTTTAACTAACATGGACTGAAAAATGGACTCTTAAATTTCTGACATATGGATTTCATCATTAATGTTACTGTAAACTGCACTTTTTAATAGGAAATATAATTAAATTATGTTTTCACATTTGAAAAAATGTAAGATGGTCACTTGAATGTTCTTCAAGGTAAGGAACATAGTCACTCACAAAGCTCAATTCATATTAGTTTCTTCTTGGTAAAATTTGTCTAGATGCATGATTGATGAAAGAAATGTATAAACATTACCATTTTTGGGTATTAAACTGCACTTTTTAATAGGAAATATAATTAAATTATGTTTTCACATTTGAAAAAATGTAAGATGGTCACTTGAATGTTCTTCAAGGTAAGGAACATAGTCACTCACAAAGCTCAATTCATATTAGTTTCTTCTTGGTAAAATTTGTCTAGATGCATGATTGATGAAAGAAATGTATAAACATTACCATTTTTGGGTATTGTTAATGGAAACAGAGAAAACAAACTCGACTTGGAACATGAAGAGGAAGCAAGGTATGAAGCAGAGGAGAAAATTCATTAAATAAGAACATGAAATTTTAATTTTTCTTCTGTGACATGAAAAGAGTTATTCTTGCTGATTTCTAAATACTACATCCTGGACTTAAAAACTTAACTGTTCTGAGAAAAATAAAATGCTAAAGAGGCTGTAAAAAGAAAAAAGGTACAAAAAAGGAAAAAAGGTATAAACTCATGAGAAAGTTGTAGCATATGACTGTTAAAGAGAAATCAGTGACCTATTGTCTCCTGTAAGTATAGCTCTTATTTTCTACCTATATCTTTTTTTTTTTTTAACCCAGTCCCTCTATTATAGTTTTTATAAAGCACAGAATACTGATAGTGGATGCTCCTCCAATATATGCAAATATGTTTTATGTTTTAGAATAACCTCCTTTTTTAAAAAAGCAAATAAACTGTGAGTAGCACTCATGGAGTGCAGCAAATTTTTTTCAAACTCTCCGTGACATACACGAAGAAGCATTCTGATCCAGTTTATGAAAAACAAAATCAAAACAAAATAACTACAACCCATACTTGCCTATCATCCTCAGGAAAAGGTGACCCACTATATCCTGAAAAGTGTGCTTTAATTTTTTTTATTTCTTTTTTTTTTTTTTTTTTAAATAGGTGAACTCTGTGTGCACTGTGTTGTGTGTCAATTTTCAGACTTTGAAGACAAATAATTACCATATTATACCATTGTGCAAACAGTGTTTAAGTTGGGGTCAAATCGTACCGCTTTCCCTTCCACAGACTTTGCATTTGTGTCATACATGGGGTTTTCAAAAGCAGCTTGTCCATTATTATTTTCATGTACAGAGCATCCTGTATACTGTGTTTTAGGAGCAGTCCTGTAGAAGAAAAACAGAGCATTTGTAACTGCATTTCTCTTCCCTGACTTAATGTGCTTTAAAACTCAAAACAGAATTTAGCTCTCAATTCCAGTTATCGGAGCTAAATATAACACCCCAAATTTTTGGTTCAATATCAGTGCTAAGAATTAGCAGTGTTTGTCAAAGTTTAAGGGACTTATGCTGCTCACTTATAAACTTAGTTAACAATCTTAGAAGAGGCTATCCATTGTTATTGGATCCATTATCCAAGTTGCTATCCATTCTACTTGGATGATAAATTTCAAAGAGTACAACAAAATCTTGCAAAGACACAATATTTCCCCAGCGAGATGACTCAGGCTTTCTTTTTCTCTTTGGAGACTCAACAAGTTTATCAAGAATGAAGGATTTTATTTTTTCCTAAATAACTCAAAATATCGAACTCTTAAAAACTTTTCATCTACATTGTTACACAAAATGCATACTATATTGTAAATCATCAATATAAAATGGAAAGAAAAGTGCTTACAGCATACACTTAATAGCAAATGCATAAGAAGACTATGTGGCAATTTTTCATATTCTGAAGCAATTGCGAACAAGTGGTACTATTTAAAAATGATGGTATGTGTTTTAAACTGTTATACTCTAGAGTGTATTACTATTATTACTGTGAGGCTATCAGATGCAAATTACCATTTTGCCAGTTAGTATGCAATGAATTTTCTTGCCATTAAAGTTATTAAATTTTCTTTAGTCATCTAATGCTTTAAAGCTATAGGAAAGGTTTACTTGACACTGCATCCAAAGCGCTAATACCAGTCTCAGTCACATGAATGAAACTGTTGAATTTAAACTAATGAAACTGAAAAAACTGGTGGCTATCTAACATAATTGCATATGAACTAATAATTTCAGACGCAGAAGCAGTTCCACAATGAAACCTCTCAATGACATAATACTTGAATATATACTTGTATGCCAATAAACAGAACAGGCATGAAAATAAATTACTCAGGATATGACTCAATTCTGCCCCATGAAAAAAACAGCCAATTTATTTTGAGTACATGCAAAGTCTATCAATTATATTATTCCCCATATGCCAATAATTTATAGTATCCATTTGATTATCATAAAGAGAGACATTTATAACATTTTTAGGAGGTAGGAATGAAAGTATAGCATGGTACAATAAACTTGTCTCTTAGTCATTATATCAGATCTTAATGCAGGTAGGAAGAACTGTCTACATGTGTATTTTGCAAACATTTTGTGGTTTTACAGAAAGCTTTATTTACACTAGCAAAGATTGAAGGCAATAAAATCACCAACACATAGAGGAATAGAAGAATATGGTATATATAATTTGCACTTACCTTTGTTTATAAAGATAAAAGCCAAAACCAGCAAATATAAGGGCAAAGAAAGGCACAAGGATAGCAATGGCCACTGAACTACTATTTGTACCATGTGGTTGATTTGAAGAATTTGAACCCTCAGACATGTTAAGACCTAAAAAAAAAATAAGAAAAAACAAGTATTGTAGTTTATGTGCCTGTTAGCCCCAGTACATATTACTCTATAAACTTCAGAATTCAATAACACTTTGTTATTGGTTCATCATAACGTGTTCAGCTGCATACATACAGCTGCATGCTGTGACCACCTGGCAAGTAAATGTATACCATATTCTGATTAGTAAGTGGATGCAAAATGTTGGGAGAAGAGTACATATCCTCTGGTACAATAAATACCTTACAGCATAATTCTGTATGGGATTCAAGTTTTGGATGTTGTTAATACATATTAATGTACTGTGTTACAAAAAGTCAAATTTATAGTAATACATATGTTACATTGATTATATTGCTGATTATATTTGTATATTTCCGTAATTAATAGTACATGTTTAAAACTCAAACATATTGTCAAGGAAAGGTCAATGACCAAAGGAGGCAAACTGAAAATCCACTATTTCCTTAGGCCCTGCTGTTGATACACAGAGTGAAAGAGAGGAAAAATTTTGAAGAGCTAAAGCCAGATATTGATGACAAAATAGGAATATGACCTGCTGCATGGTTGAGAAATACATTACCTACATTATCTATATGGGCAAGTTGTACCCCTTCTAAATGTGAGGAAATGAATAACAATGCAGATTCAAAGTTATTTTTTAAGCTTTTTAACTGGATCTTTTAAGCATTGCACAGGTCATAACATTTTCTGACTTTCTTGATCTTACAGGGCACTATATAGAAATTTTAGAAAACACTACAAAACCAACAACCAAACCAGACAACAATCCATGTTTCAAGAAAATTTGTGTGGGAACAGCAATGAAAACTTTTTTTTTCAGAGAAGTGATTTTTATGCTTTTGTGAATGAAATAATGAAGTGGTAAACATGCTAAACAAAATCTGTTCAAAGATTGTGAATCTCTCTAGAGTTGTATTAGTGAATATATTAACTTCAATGAATTCT